GCTGCGAATAGCTAGCGCTATTCAGATAGGAAAAAACCATCACTGATATTTTGATGATTTTGCAATTAATTAGTTGTGATTGGAATTTTAATTAAATTGTTTATATTGCGCTGCCAAATTGAATGAGAATACGATTTAGTCTATTCTCTACGAGCTGTGCGATTTGAAAAATTACAAATTAAGCAAACAAAATGGAACAAAAGATGCAATAAGAAATTTTCAACCACACCATAACAGAAACATTGCTTAGATAGATTTTGAAATTTCATCATTTGTCAATTGTGATGAAAAACTTCATGAAAGAATGCGTAAAATGACTTGTTTCAATTGACATTTATACGAAAACAAGTATTGATAGTTCATGTATTCTAGGAAAAAAAATATGAAGAGGACGAAATATATAGAATTGAAAGAGCTCCGCCTTAATCGGAGAGGTGTGAAACATATAGACGACATTGTTTACATTTAAGCTTTTTTATACTCACAATTTCAAACTGTCACTGAAAGGCTATTTAATCCACAGAAAAGAATTAAGGCAAATGGAAAATGTGAGCGGTTTTCTTTTATAACTGCCATTTAAATATACGAAACAATTTCAATATCAAGAGTTTTTCAACGATATATTTAATTATTTATTTATTTTTTAAATTTTATAATTCAAGCACAAAATGATGATCGAAAAAAGCGACCACGTACAGCATTCTCAGCATCTCAAATAAAGGCGCTTGAGACGGAATTCGAGCGTGGAAAATATTTATCAGTGGCAAAGAGAACCGCATTGGCAAAACAGCTACGGCTCACTGAAACTCAAGTAATAAATGTTGGTTCTTTATGGTGTATGCATGATAAATGTTAACGACTCATTTACTTTTTCGTTCTTCAGATTAAAATTTGGTTTCAAAATCGTCGAACCAAATGGAAGCGAAAGTATACGTCGGATGTGGAAACATTAGCCTCACAATACTACGCACATATTGGAATCGGTGGTATATCACAACATCAATATTTATTTATTTTGTATTAGACTCCCATATTTTAAAGCATCCATAAGCAAATTATTTAAAAAAATATTTCTAACAAAAATTGAGATTTGGTAGTAATAGTGGATAAATCATTGTAATCAGATACAAAATCATGGGAAAAACATCACATCGAAAATGTAACAACAGCAAGGTAATTGTCACTTTTCATACAAATCTGTTGATTTCCAAGCGCATTCGTTTTTGTGTTTAACATATTGGTTAACAAGCACAAAATGCTTCAGATAAAAATATATACTTTCTGATGAGATTCTTTCAAACCTAATGAGATTCTGTCCTTATAACTTAAATTCAATTTCAAACAAAAAGTGACATTTTTTCGGGAACAAGAACTATTGTGCACCAAATTTTCAAAAGATTCTGAAAAAAAATTCGATTTTTTCTGCCAATGTTGTAAAATAATCTTTCAAAATTTAAAAATTATTTGCTGGGGGATGTTCATAATTTAATGTTCAAAATCAAAATTTCCATCTACATCTAGGGGGAACCCAAGGAACAATTTGTAATGCAAATTCACCCATTATCAGGCACAAATTCACGGTCGAATTTGAACCCGGATTTGTGTGTAGTTTCAGTTATTTTTACGGTTGCCATAGCGTAACATTCAGGTGTAAATACATGGAAAAGAGGAACGACAATCATTAGTATCAATTGAATTGTATATGGATTTTTTTAAGCCGAATATTGCGTTAAACATATATTTTTCTACATGCTACGACAACGCCATCTCTGTTTCCCCATGTGTGTAGAGTATGTTCAATTGTTCAATATTGACAAATCATTCAAACGGGTCAATTTTGTACCGCAAAAATAGCTGTCATCGTGAAAATATGTCAACAATATTATTCATTGAAATTTTTGAAATTGACTGTACCGTGTTTATTTTTTAAAACAATTTTCAAATGCATATTTCTGTAAATCTCATTTCAAAGTTTTAAAATATTTGTACAATTCTACATAAATAATATTTTAAATTTTTTAAACTGAAAGGAAATTTTCAGCATAGAAACAGCTTCTGCTGCAAGACCAAAGATGTCGTTTTCGGGGGAGATTCGTGTGACGTTTTCATATAAAACATATAGCGCATTACTCGGTTAATTTTTTTTAAATTAAAATATTTACTCACCTACGGGCTCCTTCCCTCCGTACTACCGTTGTACTGTTCTTATGAACGCACAACAAGGCTATCTAAGCTAACTAATCGTTATAATATTTATTTGATAATTTATGGATTCAATGCTGCTGCTTGTCAGTTGACATTGTTTGGTGGTCTTCTCAGCGAATCAGGCACTAGTACGCCAAACATCCAACAAAGTCCTGTGTAATTAGAATCAAAAACATCAAAAAATGGATAGACTCTATTTTCAATTGATTCATACCTTTGAGCATAATGCATTTTCGACAAAATCGTCTGAATCGTGAGATTCATGCGAATAGTGCAGTTAAGTCGCAGACGTTGTTCTTTGCAATTCGTATTGGTCGGTGTGGTTTCTTTACTCTCATATGACTGTATGACAGCTACGATTATTAATTTTTATTGTTCACATTCTCTAATATCACTATTATATAGTAAACATTTTTTTTCTCCCACAAGATCGATTACAACTACCAAATCTCAAATTTAAGTTTCAGGTTAATCTTAAACTAAATATAAATTCATTTTTTCCTCTCTATTCCCAAAATCATTTGTTGTGGCAAATTCATCCATTATCGGGCATATATTGACGGTCAATATTGAGGTCGGATTTGAGTGTAGTTTCAGTCATTTTCAACGTCGCAATGGAAAGAAAAAAGAGAAAAAATAAACTCAGTTACTAAGTATGAATCAACATCAATATACTATCGGTTCAGTTCAATAAATGATACTCACCTACGGGTTATTTTATATACCGAACTGCCCGTACTTCGGTCAAGGCCACAAAACTCAAGCCCAGCATAGTAACAAAACGTTACAATAATATTATTTAAAAAGAAATCTTAATGCTACATGTAATTAAAACTGGTCGTCATCGGAAACATCGAGAACATAAACGTAGTCCTCATCGTCACTGGAATCCCCATCGTCAGCTGCTTGATTTTGTACGGCAGCATTTTGATTCTGTGGTCTCAATAGTTGCGGATGAATGTCCAATCTTAACACCGTACAAGGACCTAAAACCAAAATCGTAAACAACAAATTGTTAGCCAAAACATTCTTAAATATTTTTAATTTCAGTGATATTTTTTCACCTTTGTACATGATGTTCTTGGCTGCAACGATATCCCGGTGCCAAACAGTTTTCAATTGAAATGGAGCTCGATCATCTTTCAAAACGCCAGTGTTTAGTTGCCAGTTTTTGAAACATACTTGAAGTTTTGACACTAAACCATCTGAATCCATTGGAATATGATCTGGGTTGGCTGCATTCAATCGATTAACAAAATCAACTGCATATTTACGCAATTGTTGGTATACTCGGTTGCTTTTCATGGTGATAATCACGTTCGGTAAATTCCATTGCGATGACTCATATCTTCACTTGGAATAAAATGCTGACAAACTTTGTATCGATCGCTTTTGGTTCGTCGATCGAATGGCCGGAAACATTTTGCACAAGTTTGCGATGTATTGTATTCGTCGACCAATCGTACAATACAATTTCCCAACTTCTTGAAACTGTTCAATAGTCGTCGTAATCCCGGGCATCGCAATCGCTTTTTAATACCAATTGGTGAGTTTGGAGCTATTTGAGCTGCACCAATAAAAACGAGCGTCGACTTTTTTTTCGTCAGTGATGCCGCGATTTTGTCACTGGCCCGATTCTCTTCGATGTATTTATCGAGACGGAGTCGAATAAACTTTCTTGTTGTGTACACCGCCATAGCTGGTTTCATCATTTTCACATAATAAGCGATGTAACACATCCAATGTGAACGTCCTTTCGGCGATGGAAAAAATGCATAGCGTTTATAGTCGAGCTCCCGTTGTTTTTGCAACAATTCAGTCCATTGATCGGATTTACGCTTGCGTTTGCCATATTTCGCTTTGAAATGGTATTTTGGGCCATCAATTGTGATGTTTTCCTGAGATTAACGAACAAAAAATCATAGAAGTAAACAAATGATAAATAAAGAATGAATTTATTGTTTCTTACCTCGTTGCCGGATCAAACGTGTTTGCGAACGGTGGCGTTCCATGTACGAACTCCTGGATCGATTCCAAGCACATAATCAAACTCAAAATTATTGTACTTCTCTTTGATGGTGTTGTTATCAAGTTCTGGTGTATTGCGTTCAGGCTTCACGAAACATAACGAAACTTCCACACTATCGGTTGCCACAGCAAAATCGAATTCCTTACCATTTCCAAGTTTCGAAATTTTTGGCATGTCAAATATTAAATCCCAATAGATAGCTGGATTGCTATCGTATTCAGTTTTTTCAATGTTTATTGGCTGACTGCGTTTTCCTTTTGCTAATTTCAATGCTATATTCGATATTTTCGCGTCGATATTGGAACCAGCGTTGTTTCAACATTTTATATTTCGCGTGAAAATCGAAAATTTGTCGCTGAATGTTTATAAATATTGGGATGGTTTAGAACCAGCGATCACGAATGAGATTCTGGAAGTGTACATTGATTGGCAATCCAATGCCTGCTGCTTCGTTTAATAGAAGATCGATGTTCGCGTTTCTCCCGACTCTACTCTGGAACATTACGATCTTCGTCGCACGTTTTACATCCAATTCAGTGATGAGATTTCCTTGTCGATTCAAATTCAGTTCGTAGCGCTTTAGCGTGAAAAATTTCTTGATGCGACTGAATGCCCATACTCTGATGTTATTTTTCACGTTTGTTATGTACTGAGTGATGTGATGATTGAATGCGTTCCTCATGCCCTCAGGAGCTGGCCAATTTTCTGGACGAAGAAAATCAGGGCATGCTTGCTCCACAGTTCGTCGAAATGCAAGCGGTAATTTGTGGTAATTTTCTTGTAATACCGAGGTGAAACATTCACCAATTACACCATTCACGTATTTATTGAATTGATCATTCGTGTATTCATCGGATTCACCTTTAAAAAATCGAACATTTTCATCATCAAAGGCTTTGTTTGCTTTGAAAAAAAAAAAACAGTAATGACGCCAGAGTCGTTATCATTGTGGCCGAAAGGCACCAGTATGTGACCTGATCGATGAATGGTGCACGATACTCTTCCCGCAGCACTTGATTTAGAGTCATCTTCAACGACGCACTGCGCCCATTCTTGGCTCTCTTTCTTCTCATCGTGATAGAACTATTGCACAAAAATTAAAGAAAAAAATGCACCAAATATAGCATAGATCACAAACACAATAAGTTATAAACACTTCTATAACAAATTAAATGAAACAGTAATGAAGAACGCATTATAAATATCACCTCTTACCTCAACAAAGTGACTCTGTATTCTAAATCGAATGATGAAATTTATTTCCAACGTGACATCAAATATTTTGCCGATCGAAATGTTGTTGGAATATTCACAGTAAATTTTATCAACACTCTGTTATTTCGAAATTAAAACAAAGAAAGTCACAAAACCAACTGTGAATATATCCATTCCACAGGGAACAGCATTCCAAACACACAAAATCGTTTTTGAAATGACAATAAAACCAATTGATCGCCCAAACCACGCTTCAAACACTCTCATATAATTCTCAAGAAATCCTGTTGAAAACAAAACAAAGTTTTATTGTAAACAAAATCGGTTGGTGCAAAAGTTGTTTATACTAACTATTATTAGTATAAGATGCGAGCACATTTTTAATACATATAAATGAATATCGTTGCATTTGGTTTGACACATATACACCGCGCCAATCGAAAAATGTCAGAAAGATGTCAGTTGCATTTCGAAAATTCAAAATAATAATTCCACAAATAAAGAAAATTAAATGCAATAAATGACGTATAAAAGAGTTCTTCTGCAGAGTTTTAAATTAAATTATGCAAATCTCTTTCCGAATAAATTGTTTATTTTTTTATTTGAGAGTAAGATTTAGATTTGCAATTTAAAACTTAATGTATTGGGTTGTGTTCACATTATGTTGTCAAATGAAATATTATTGGAAGTGAAAGAAACAAGTGGATCCATTCCATTGCAATTCGTGGAAACTATGCATATAATCTCCGTTCCATTTGACACGAAAATGACCACCAGAATGGGCCAAAACGTTACATTTTTCAACGTTAGAATGTACTAAAAACATTACAAATTTGTTTGCTGTTGTGGTATACTATATATTTTCCTATATTTTCATATTGTTTTATTGCATTTTTTTATCACTTTAGGTATAGCACGACCAATGGTCGTTGGAGATCGATTATGGTTATTCAGCCAATCGCCAAATATGACTCAACCACAACCGATGTTGCCACCAAACCATGATGCCATTACATTTCGAAATTTTGGTCCCACACAAACGGTGCAACCTGCCGTAAATGTTTCTCTGCCGATGCAGCCATCTCCAGCAACCCGAATGCCAATATTTCCAAATCGTTTGGCACAGTTTAATCTATTTGGTGCTGGACCTTCATCAACAAATCCCGATTCAACTCTTTACCGTCAATTTCTATCTACTCCAAATGCTTCAAGTAAATTTAATGCAACCGTTGATAATAATTTCTTTCCACCACCAACCAATCAATCCAAAGACTTAATCAACAAATTACTCTGGACAAATGCATTCACAAACAAACCAATAAAAGACTCATATTCATTTCCCGGATACAATGATACAGACACACTTCCGAATCCCAAACGGAAAAGCAATGAAATTGGTGGAATAGCTGAATTGGAACGAGTTTTTGGGGCAACAAATACAATTGAAACACAAGATAATACCGGATGTCTTAGCGAAGAAAATAGTGATGTTGACTGTGAACAGCTGTAATAGATTTGAAATAACAAATTAAATGATGTGTAAAATCATTTTGGAAACTCTTTCGAACATTTTTAATTCTCAATTTTGATATGATTGTTCTACTTAATAACCATCAAATGATGGAAAATCCATTTAGTTTTTAGACAAAATATACTATTGTATTCAACAAAATAATTAAAATAAAGAGATATTTTTTTCATATAGAATAAGATGTTTATAAAGCTGCCAATAAATAATAATAATTCATTTAATTTAAAATTTGTATGATTAAAATATCTAACAAATATATGTAACTAATTGTAAAAATAAATTATGAATACTTATATTCCAAGTTATCTTAATGAAATACACGTACTTAATTTTAGAAAATGATGAGTAATCACTTCACATAAGGTCAATGTTTCCTAAGCTGCTGGCAATTTTATAAAATTATGTCAGCAATGTAATTTAGAGAATTTTTATGGACTTTTGTCTTGTTCAGAATACTATTCAACAGAATTGGTCGTTAATAAATTGTGTGCACATCGCACAGTAATTCAATATTTCCCTTGCATGTGTTTGATAAGTCAGCCGTTTTTTCAGGTGTATAAAGCTCATCAAGGTTGTATAATATATCAAATAAAACATTTTATTCCAATTTTCCGATTACAATGACATTTACGATCAATTTTTATGACTTAAATCAAAATTTTCTTATTTTTCAAACTGAAAGCTTAATTGATTTTCCTACTTTAACGAGTTTCATATATTAGGCCTCTTAAATAATTTTGAATAGTTTTAACTTCATGCAATTTTATATTTCACGTTCATTGCGACAAGAAAAAAAAAATATTCAAACATAACATATTACGTTAGAACATGTGCCATATCGAATGTGTGATTTATGCAATCCGTGCAAGTTTATATGAAACCCAATTCTATCGATCAAAAATTGAGTTATCACAGCAAAAATGTTCAATAAATTCCATTGAAACATCAAAAAGCATTCAAATCATTATTCGCTGACATTTGAATCGTAGTATGCAAACAAAACGGACGTAAACCTTTAATTGTGTGACGATTGCTGAACTGTTTGTGGAATTTCGTGCCAAATTTTCATACATTTTCTTGTTCTACGCCACGAATTTAATAAAATATTTATTTATTGTTTTAACACAAAGTTGATTTAACCTTTGTCAAGTGTTTACAACAAAATGGATACAAATTATACATCTAATAATCTGATTACACGTGCAATGGATTTCTATTCATGGACTTTGACATTATCAGGTAAACTACAAAAAATCGAAAAATTACAATTAAAGAAGAATAAATAAACAAAAAAGTAGTATTTTCGCGAATTCAACTACATTACATTTCATGTGAATTTACAGATAGTCGTACAAAAGGTATGCTTTTTGTGGACTCGCCTTTTCCAACGCTTGCCATAACTCTTGGTTATTTACTAACTGTGTGGATTGGACCACGGATTATGCGGAAGTAAGTACTTATGAGTGCTTTAATCACTACTTCATTTTTCTTGAATGTGTTTATCTTTCAGCCGAAAACCGTTCGAATTGAAACAAACGCTACTAACATATAATTTGGCCATGTCTGTACTGAATTTTTATATTGCCTTTGAGTTGTTAGTTGCATCAATTTCGTTAAAATATAATTATCTGTGTCAACCATATAAACCCATTTATTCAACAGGAGAACTTAGAGTGAGTATTTGTGGGCATTTTTTAACGGCATTTTGTTTTTTTATATAATCAAACAAAATGATGATAATTCAATTTCCTTTTTTTTTACTTAGATTACGAATGCTGTTTGGTGGTTTTACTTCTCAAAATGTATAGAATTTTGTGATAGCTTATTCTTTGTTCTGCGCAAAAAGGATCTCCAACTAAGTTTTTTACATGTATGTATATTTTTTGCATTTATTTTGCTATCATGATTTGACATGTATCAATCATATAAATCATGTATAAATATATTTTGCAGGTTTATCATCATAGCACCATGTTTCCTTTGTGGTGGGTAGGTGTCTAGGGGCACTTCACTTAAAAATTGCCTTTGTATTATTTAATAATTGTTATTGATTCTTTTTCGATTATTTGTCGATTATTTTAAATTAATTCTATTCTTTTTTTTGTGATTCTCCCCTAGGTAGGAGTGAAATACGTCCCAAGTGGCTCAAGTGAGTTTCTATGTTTTTTTTTGTATGATATTATTTATGATATTCTGAACATTTTTGTTTGTCTTTGTTCAAATTTTGTGCAGCGTTTCTCCCGGCGATGACGAATAGCGCAATACATGTTTTGATGTATTCATATTATGGCCTTTCGACACTTGGACCAAATGTTACCAAATATTTGTGGTGGAAAAAATACTTGACAATTATTCAATTGGTAGTTTCTTTTATTTTTAGATTAAAATTTTGCAAATATTAATTTGTCACTTTTCTAATACAGATTCAGTTTACTGGAGCAATGATTATGGTTAGTTTTGTTTTTAGCGATGTGTTTTTCTCACCTTCATTTTTGTTTTATGTTTAATCAGTGAATCGAAAAAGGCCTGTGCTGCGACTCTATGTTATAATTCTGAATGAAAAGTTTTTCGTTTGGAATTGTATCGTAGAATTGTGACACTGGTCCCGATACTTTTACCTTGACAGAGTTCATAATTAAAAGACTTTCTCTTTTTAGGGAATCAATGCTATTCAATCTGGTTGTGATTTTCCAAAATGGATGCAATATGCCTTAGTCTTTTACATGATTTCATTTATTGTGCTTTTTGGAAATTTCTATGGAAAAAATTACTTATCCAAAGGAAAAATAACAACGAAACTCAACGACAACGGCAAATCTCGAGAAGAAAAACTACAAATAAGACAAAAATGTGACTAATTCGTAGAGTGAATAACAGGGAATAGAAATGTGTGAAAAATGAAACATTTTATTTTATATTCATAACATAATCAAAAGATCAATTTTTCAAAAGATAGAATTTTGTAACGATGTGTATAATATTTGTAAATTTTATAAATTTTAGAATATGACACGCATAAAAAAATATAATGGCATTTTTTTTTTTTTTTTGATTAGATTTGGTTTCTTTTGTGCTTTTTTTAATGGTTTCGCATTTAATAAATTTTGATTGTTTGATTATTGCTGGCAGCAATTTGTTGCATACCAAAAGGAATTTTGAAATAAAATTTTCCCAAAACTAATTTACATTACATCTCTGATTAGATGAATGTGAGTTCCACAAGAAGCAACAACAGCTTGTAATTTCAATTATATGATCGTATTATTTATCTCTTTTTCTTTTTGGTCAATTTACTGTCTTGGCTTATAGTAACATCGCTCTTGCGCTTTTGATTGTTTTTCGGTTGATTTGATGTGGATAAACTTGTTGTGGCACTCGCTTGCGTTGAATTGGCTTTACCTGGTTTTCTCTTCTTTTCAAGGCGCTCTTTCTCCTCGAGTTCTTGATTTTCGCGTTCAATTAGAGTGATCAACGTATTACAGCGACGCTGAAGTTCCAGGGCGGTCCGACTTTTTAAAAACCAATCGAATCTGAACTGTGGTGATGAACTGATACGAAATGAAGAAAATTGAATTGATTAAATTTCTAGTCATTTTATATATATATATATATTGGCTTACCGAACAGCCGATCGCAGATCTTCGTAAACGTTTTCTTTGTCAAATCCCAATTTATGTAACATACAAACAAGAAAACGATCCTCTTCTTCTGTGTAATTTTTCCCTTTGTTATTACCTAAGGGGAGAATGACAAAAGAAAATAATCGAATTAATTTAAAATAATCGAAAATAATCGACAAATAATCAATAAAAATGTGAAATAATTCTGAATGAAATATACTAGGGGCTTTTAACTTCAAGTGAATACTACTATTTCAGTATATATTGAAACATTATGCTGAATAGTCATATATATATGAAGAATATGCTGCATATATTCGGTGAATATTTCGTGAATAATTCATATATACGAATTTTTTCATTCTCTTTTGTGCGGATTTTCTTCGTTCCTGTGTAGCTATACTGTGTGTACAGTGAATATTCACAATATACAGAATAAAATATGAAATATTCACTGGAGATTTATGCCGTATATATGATGAATAAGACGTGTATATTGTGAATATTTGTGTATATTTTGCAAAATGTATATACTTAAAAGCCCCTAGGAAATATATATATATTAGCATCAAGCAATTATCTTGAACAAATTGAGATTTGGTAGTTGTAATCGCGATTCTGTGGAAGAGAGCGAAAAGATACTAGCTTACTATAGAATAGTACTTCTGGGTCTGCTGGTCACTACCTAGATACATACAATAACAGAAAAACAAACAATGAACATAAATTGCAGTAGATGAGATTAAATGAAAGCAATGAAATTTTTTCGAATTGAAACAGTAGCCTATATTGAACAGCGAATGCGTTAGCTACTGTTGATACAATTTTCGTTTATCCGTTCGCGTCGCCATGTTGTCGTTGTGACGTTATTCCGATGCAATGCTACTGTGTGTACAACATTGATTCTCCGTTGCTACTACCAAATCTCAATTTTTCGTCAACAATTTGTTTGATATTTTATGATATTTTTATTTTTTGTTATTACCATAAGATAAACGCAACTGGTGGAACGGAGCTCTGTATCGTGACATCTGAATGTAAGAAAACGTAATATGAAACATATACAGGGTGGCGCATATAATAGGCTCACTCTTAGGGGGTGAGAA